ATATACACAAGCGGTAGCAAAATAGTCACGATAGATTCTTTCGTGACCTTCAACTTTACCACGATTAACTATTCTGTGGCCTGGAACGGAACCACGATGCTTTCTTATCCGTCTCTGACTAGACTCTTCTGACCTTCTAGTTGCAGCATACAACATATCCAAGTCATCATTATCTTCTTCTTCAATATTGAGGATCTCTCCTAAAATATTAAGATAACGATTCATATAGCTTGATAAATAAAAATATGGAAGAATAAATAGTCAAAGAAAAAGGAGATATTGAATTTATAGAGAGAATGTCAGATAGATAGATGAAAACATGAGAAAAATGATCATATTTATAGATGAATTATACTTTTTTTAATTTTTATTTTGGCGGTTAAACTTTCAAATTTGAATTTCAATGGTTGTAATTTGAAATTTGAATTTCGGCAGACAAAATTTGAAATTTAAAATTTTTACTATAAAAATATATCTGTTAAATTACGATCGATGAAAACGATACTCGTTAAAATATAACCGTTAAGTTTAATTATATTTTTTAATAAAAAACATTAAAATATTAAAATGGCGCCCCATTTTGGCATCTACCATTGAAGCAGAAACACTATTTAGGGGTGTCAAAACACTGTTCAAGGTTACAAAATGGCATTTGGCACCCCATTTTTGGCAACTACCTTTGGAGTTGCTCTTAGCTCTACGAGTGCTCGAACGAGAGTTCAACATTTTTTAGTAGATTATCATTTTTTCTAACAAAAAATTGAAGTGCTATTCCAATAATCTCGTAGATGTTTGAATTATGCTATTGCGGTAGAAGGTAAATAGTTGTGTTAACCCAAGACTGCGGCAGCCGATAATTGGTTCGAGTGATGTTCTTTTAAATAAAAGTTTGTACCATGTTTATGTAGGCAATGCATGTTCTGTGTGGCTTAGGCAAATACTATTCCATCCTAACGCATTAAATATGCCAACTCAATTTTGTGGATTTACACTATACTATGTAGCTTCATGATCTAATTGGTGAATTCAAATTTTCTACTGCCACCTACTTACCACAAACTTTCTTTCCAACACTCCGAAGAGAAAGTTACAGGTATCTTTAATCTACTGCATCTGGGCTGTGTGACTTACGCGGTTGTGGCGAATAAAAAGTATGCATCATTTGGATGGTTCTCGGGAATTTATTATTTATTTTGATTTTTTTAAATTTAGTCTCTTTCATTAATTGCTATAATTTGTGGTTGGTTTTAATTGTGAATAGGTTTGATGGAAGGTCTTGGTTGTGTATATATTGATGAAATATAAATATGTTTTGTGGTTGGTTTTGGGTGTGAATTCATGTATGATACATAAAAAGTTTATGTATTTTGAATTTTTTGAATTGGTTTCTTTGATTAATTGTTATAATTTGTGGTTGGTTTTGGGGTGTGGATATGTATAATGGAATGTAAATATGTATGGTGGAATATAAATATATTTGTAATTGATTTTGGGTGTGAATATAAATGTTTTTTTTTTGTTACGCAGCAATAACTCGTTGATCTATAAATTGAATGAAAGAAAGCAGTTTTTTCTTTCCTACTTGTGTCATGTTTCATATTCTCACTCAAAGACAATCAAACCAGAAGAACCATGCAACAGGATGGTGCTCTCCTTCCATGACATCGTTTTCATTGGTACAAATGTGGCTAATGCCACATCTGCTAGAGTTGCAAATGCCACTAAACTGTCTTCTTTCTCCCCCTATCGCCCGCGTTCAAGGCTTCTATTTCTATGACACGAAGACTACATATAATGCTTAGTTCTCTCCTACACTTTGATATTCAATTCTACTGGGCACAAAGGTACTATTAAGTATTATGGGTGCAGACATGATGGACTCGGAGACTAGGGATCGTTTAGTGGTTGGAGGAACTAGAGATTTCTTCATGGCAAGAGGGATTGCTACATTTCGGACTAATACTTCTTAGGAACATGCTTATTTTCGCCTTCAAATGATATTAAGTTGTATGAATGCTATTGAACTGTTTTAAAGGAGCTCAAGCTTTGATGCCTTACTAGAATTGTGTGTGTGCATATACTTTTGTTGTGAGAATTATGGCTGGTAAATAGACAAAGCTATTTCAAATGGCCGCCAAGGGTCCCTCAATAAGGAGGTCACACACAAAAAAATGAGGGCCCAAAAAAGTGTGGATTGAAGTGTAATTGGTCAAGGCAGTGGTGCAGGTGATCCCTAGTTTTGCAATGTCCTATCTAGCTTTCCCTCGTAAGCTATGTGATAAATTCACTTCTTTGGTGAGAAGGTTTTGGTGGGGGAAGAATTCGGAGGCAGATGGTATACATTGGAAAAAATGGGACGAGTTGACGTTACCAAAAGAGCAAGGGGGTATGGGCTTTAGGGACTTCTAGTGCTTTAACCAGGCTCTGCTGGCTAAGCAAGGGTGGCGACTAATCCACAATCCAGAGTTTTTTTGGGCTCGAATCATGAAGTCTATCTATTATCCTAACACTGATTTTTTACAAGCCAGAAGGGGCGCAAGACTTTCCTGGATGTGGAATAGTCTCCTTTTAAGGAGGGAACTGCTAGAAAAAGGTAGTCCGCCGGTAAGTGCGAAATGGTAACAAGATTAGCTTCTGGGAAGATAGATAGATACCCACTCTCCCAAATTTTAGGATCTCCTCTACCTAGCCGGATGACTATGAGATTAACTTGGTGGAAGATGTTATTCTAAGGGATACAAAGGTATGGAATATTAATGCCATAAAACAGGTGGTCAGGTCGGAGGAATGGAAAGCTATTTCTCATATTCCAATTGCAAAGCTAAAGGGCATTGACCAACTGGTCTGGCATCCTAGTCCTAAATGAGTTGACAATGTGAAGTCAGGATATGCTCTAGCCAGAGAGGATAAACAATTGAAGCTACAGAATTTAGGGGGGCATCCAGTAGTTCTCAACCAAGACTTTGGAAGCTAATTTGGCAGCTTAACACTATCCCAAAAGTTAAGCATTTCTGGTGGAATGTGATGACTAATGCCCTGGCTACCGAATAAAATCTATTTAGACGAAGAAGTGTGACCTCCCCATTGTGCAGAATCTGCAACACATACATTGAGACTGTGGAACACCTTCTCTTTTCCTGCAGTTGGACCTATAGGGGTGTGGTTTGGGCCTCAGAATGAATCAATAAGTTATCGCCAATATTCATAATTGGATCTCAGATCTGGTGGATGCATTGTTGGAGTCCAAACAAGCGGTGGTAGTTTTGAGCAAAGTGGCCTTCGTTGGGTGGACCATCTAGAAAATGAGGAATGAAACCATCTTTCATCACCAGCCGCTTAACCCTTTGTATGCGTTTGATAGGGTCATTATGGGGTGGAGAGACATGGGTTATTCAGGATCGTGCAGTTCTAGGATCCAACCAAATTCGGACGTTCAGATTTCATCACAAGTCCCTCACTGGCTTCCCCCATCCCAGAATTTGGTCAAATTCAACTGTGACGGTGCATATAACCCAAGCAGGTTCATAGCTTCAGCTGGAGTGGTGTGTAGGGATGTTGATGGGGTTCTCATTGATGGGGTTTCCTTCCAAATTCTAATAATATCCAGTCTGCTTTCTGAAGCTGCTGCAGCCCGTGAAGCATGCCTCATGGCTCTTTCTCTGAATCTTCATAGTGCTATAATTGAAAGTGACAACCAGTCCCTCATTTTGCTGTGCACGGAGAAGATGATCCCCCATGGGAAATAGTTGTCTTTATAGAAGACATCAAGTACGCTGCTACGGTATTAAATCTTAATTTCAGATATGGACCTCGAGTCACCAATGTGGTGGCTCCCTGGGTGGCCAAGACTAGACTTCTCCATCCCTTACCTCAAGATTGGGTGGTGAATCCTCCACCTGAGCTTGGGGACTTGCTTATTTTAGATTGTAATCAGTCTTTTGTTAGTTGAATGATATTTTCCTCTGCTGATAAAAAAAAAGTGTAATTAATCTCACCAAATTAGAACGCCGGTCCGATACTATATTATCAAATTGCAGTGATTCTTTTTTTTTGATTTAACAGTTAAGAGTATTCGGATTAGCTTACGTATATCTCGATTAATTTTCTCTTCGGTCCGGTAAAAAGTAAATCATTCACGCCAGAATTAGGTTATTTATGAGATAAATCTATCACAACTTAACTCATAAAGTAAATATTGAATGCAATGGTGATACCATATCACCATTGATTGGTTTGTTTTGCCATGAAACTAACTTTGAATAGTCAATTGGAATATAAACCTTGTTTTATGAATCTCTTTAGTTGCATGATCGTAACACACACACACGAGTTTGGGATTCCAACAAGATTGTAAATAATCTTGCATAGCCTTTGAGCCATTAGTAAGACTGTGTGTGAACTAAATTGAGTAGATATGGTATGTCTTTAATTTCAAGGTGATTACTGAAAAAATAATTAAAATTTCGGATAGATAAGTTGAAATTAGTGGACGTCTTTTTAGAAACTTTCACGAGACAACACTCGTCCGCTAGAAGGTATTTAGGGGTTTAACAGCTCTTTGCATAAACTAAATGCATTCATGTTCCATAAGAAACAAATGGTCAAGGTGAACTCCACTAGAATTTACATAGCAGAAGAGTGAAATGTTATTTGCTTACATAACAAAAATATTATTAATTAGTGATACCACATCACCTTGCCATATGGTACCAAGAGATTGTCAATATTTAAAATCAAGACGTGAATTTACAAGGATCACAGTGATTCTTGTAATAGTTTGATTATGAACATAAGCAATTGAACCTCTTTTAACATTCAAATTCAACACTCCTACAAGGGCGAAAATTTTCAAAGTCTTCCACTATAACGGTGAGTGTTACGTCCTCTATCTCATAAGCAATAATAGAAGGTATAATAATCGATCTCTAAAACATGCCGAAAGTAAACTTTGGGGTAAGTCAATAATATCAATTCAAAACACAGATAACCTACCATTGCCACCAAAATATACTACTCAGCTACAATATTATGTCAAGGTTTTCATTTCCAAAGTTTTCACATAAGCTATCGATCCAAACATCACAAGACAAAATATGCATTGCGTCCCAACATCAAACCAACCAAATAGGATCACGAGGAATAGCAACCAATTCCCAAAATCAGAATTCACAGACAATGACATGTTACCTCAACTTCTACCATTTAATTAACAAAGAGGAAGCAAAAATAGAATACGGGTGCCAAGTAGAGACAGCTCCCCAGCTCAATGCACATAAGCAATTACCATGCTTCTGCATAACTGTTCCAGTAATATGCAGCATCTCCTCACCTTTATGGCAAAAGACCACTCTTGTTTCCCCAGCCAGAAAAAAAAATAAAAAAAAAAAACAGCCCAATCCTTGTTTCCCATGAGTTTAAACAATTAGGTTAAAAAATGATTTGGAGATTTGGCAAAACAAAGAAACAAACATTGTAGAAACAAGTTAACATCAAGCCTGGTACTGTTTCGTAGTTATCAGTACCAATAAAAGAAGCTTATGCTTCACTACAAAATCCAAACAGTCATCTATGGGAGTATGTCATTAGTCGAGCAAGTTCCAGAGTAAGATCTGCAAACAAGCTAATTGGCGTACACCTTGTATCATAAATGCCTCAATTTGTTTGCATTGCTTCTCCATGATACTTTTCTAAATCAGCATCAAGATCTTCCGCAGATACTTTTCCACCACGATCTCTACCCTGTCCATGAGGACCACGACCCCTCCTCAGGCCACCGCTACCACCTCGAGGACGTCCCATGTAACCGCCTCTTCCTTGACTGAATTTCATTGGTAACAAAGTTAAAAGGAACACATAATCAGTCATATTTAAACAAATGCCATCAGAGCAAAGCAAATTAGGAAACACTGACAAATATACAATGTTTCTGTAAGGCATGTAATGACGTAAATATGCCTTGTAATACTTACCGTTTGAGTAACGTTTAATATATATAAGAACAAATATAAATGACACTGAGCATTGTCCATAAAAGGGCGATTAAATGTGAATGAGTATTTAAAGATATCGCTCACATTAAAAAATAGCTCAAGATGCTCATTTATATACACCAATTGATATTGGCGTACACTAGTAGCCGAGATATCCAAAATTAAATTTAAGTGACATAGAAAGGTCAAGGGTACAACGGGAGCAAACCTTCTGGGTGCACCATTATGACTTTCTTTCATGACATTTGTAGCTGGAGGCACAGCAGCAGCAGCCGTAGCAATGTTTGTTCCCAGAATCTCAATTTTCATAGGTTTTCCATCTAGTTGAACATTGTTGTACCTCTTGACAGCTGCCTCAGCATCTTTCCGGCGTGAAAAAACTACTTCGGCCGTTCCCTAAGAGAAATAATCTTTCTTAAGTAAGATAGGAGATATAAGTTCCCGGAGGACCAGGTTATGCCGAACTTGATGGGGATACCTTTGATCTTCCACTTCTATCGTAATGTACAGTACATCGCTTTAGGTCACCCACTTCTGAGAAGAGCTCCTGTACAAAATAAAATTAATTCAAGCCAAACCGTAGAGTCATAGTTCTCAGCTTTATCCATCAAACCCAACATAAGATCTTCTAACATAAATACTAGATGCCATACATAAATACTAGATTTCGTAGTTCTCTACTAACATAAATACTAGATGCCATACATGGGTTCTGAAAGGCACAAAAAGGACTGCTAAACTTGCTATTCCTATTTTTGGAAGCAATGGCTTCATTGCAGAAGAAGGAAACTACACGACAAAGTTCAACACTCTGCTGAGAGCAGAACCCAAACATTGTCTCACCACTAAGAGAGGAGGGAGACCCAACAAAGCAAATCCACAGCAGCTGAACACTAGTTGAATGAACCAAGAGATACCTCTCACAATACAAGACGATAAAAGCAACTCACACCCAACCAAAAATAGAAAACTCTCCCATAACCAGTGAGGCAAGGCCAACACAAACAAACTCTCCTCACAAATCGAGGATAGAAGCAAAAAGAGAGTCAACTAAGTTGAGCCACTAATCATCTCATTAATTCTCTTCCTCCTCTTCAATTACTAAATCACTCAATTTGGTCATCTGATTCAACTTCAACCACCCCTTCAGCATAGGAGAGTGAGTACTTACAATTTGCTGGGGAGACAAACAAGTACATTAAAGGAACTTGGATAAATAGGAGTAACTGGACAGTTCTTGCATTCACGACTAAATGGTTTTTCAAAGGATTTTTGTGGCTTACAATAAATATCAATATCTCACCACTGATTTCACAAGCCTCATTAACCCCTCTCCTTACCAACCCAAGATCTTCCCTAAAAAGGTCTTAAATTTTTGCGCAAGCTACTAGTTTGTGAATATGATGGCAGGATGGGGAAAGAAAACATAGTCACAACATCCTTAGTCAAATGGTGGGTTCAGGTGAGAGAGTTGATTTTTGGTGTGATAATAGGTTGGGGTCAGGGCCCTCTAATTCTTAAAGATGATACCAGACCACAATTTTTTCCTAAGCTATCATAGGTTTGGGTAAATAGTCAGCGGCAGCTGCAAGATATCATAGGGGAGCTGAATGCTCAATTGATGACACAAATTTTGTCTTCATATATTTTTGAGTGCGAGACATGATAAGCAAGTTTGGGAGCACTCGTCAAATGGGATGTTTACTGTGACATCGGCATGGGAGCCAGTTAGAGGAAGAAGTCAAATGAATGAAATAGCAAAAAAAATCTAGAAACAAAAAACGAGTCCAAGTGCAAGGCTCCTTGGTTGGAAAGTTTTAAGGAATGCTCTTGCCTATGGATTCAAGTTTCCAGAATATAGGAATTTCCCGGTCTAGCAGAATGTGTGTTTTGCTACAAAAAGGTTGAATCGGCTTCACATTTATTTATTGAATTAGAGTTTGCTGTGAATGATTTAAGCTTTTTTGGGTATTCCATTATACTTGCATGAGTCTCCAATGGCCAGATTGAAGAGGATAATTAGAATTCTTAAAAAATCTTCTCTTATGCATGGATTGATCCTTTTGGTCTACAGCAGTTGTGGAAAGAGAGATGCCAAAGGATTTATGAACGGGTGAAACTTCCTTGATCTGGAATAAATGCAAGAGTGATTGATCGTCTACAATATCAAACTTATATCATGAAGCCAAGACAGAAAAGGGTTTGATTCAATACTTGAATATTCAAGTCTATTATTCTGTGAGCATTTCGGCTAAGTGGATGTTACCTCCGGTATGATGATGAAGTCAAGTGTTGATGGTGCCAGGAAAGGCAATCCAGGTATGGCAGGTGGAGGAGTTTTTCTTTGGAATCACCGAGGTCAATTGGTTTTGGCAGCATCTTATTAATATGGCAATTGTAGCAATATGGAAACCGAGTTAAGGGTGTTATTTGATGGTCTTAGGACTATTGAGGAATATTGCTTATCAGAATATCAAATCATTGTAGAGTCAGACTCTTCAATTTTAGTGGATATGGTGAAGGGTGGAAGTCAAATTCCTTAGAAGTTTTGGGATCTATCCCAACGAATTGTCAACCTTAAGCAAAGGATGAACTTGGAGATTATGCATATCTTTGAAGAAGCTAATTTTTTGCCCGATTATTGGGCAAATAAGGGGGTCAAAGATAGAGCTCCAGTGATATACAAATCAGAAGAAGATTTTCCTATTGAAGGCCGCCACATCCTCGTGCAAGATATGCCACAAATAAGCTCTTTAAGAAAGAAAAATAAAAAGTGATTATGTGTGGAAGTGAGTGTGTGGAAGATGGTAACTATATTCAGTCCCTAAAATGTATTCTTCGAGATAGTCGAGGTCAAGAGGCAAATATGGTGAAATTTATGAAAATTTTCTTAGAATTTGTTCATGGGTAGGACCAAAGATTCTTTTGGGACTTTTCAATGTTCTTGAAAAGGGTGATCTCTTAAGCATGAGTCAAGGTATAGTCTGGGTGGAGATTTCCAAAGTTCTTGTTTCATTCTAACAAAGGGGCAGGTTGCATTAACCCACATTTGAAGTTTTTAAAGACCCAATAGAGGGACCGACGATTTTGGCTTAGTGAAATTTATTATGGAGGAGACTTTGCTAGATGAGGGGGTACCCACCAATAGCAAAGTTGGTGGGTGATTGCATTTCACCCGTGACAAGACACGAGGAGTCTTTGCTAGTGGAAGAGAAGGGACCCACCACCATTTGATGGTGTTTAGAGATGTCACGAAGAATATTTTGATAGCTTTTTCATTTTATTTATTATGTAAGGTGCATGCATTTTGCTTTCTATTTATTTTATCTTTATGATAAGATGTAACATAGAAGGCATTTGAGGGGTAAGGTTCCTTATGTCACCCATAAGGAGTTGTAATATTTTATTTTCAATTAATAAAATAATACTAATACTTCAATACACCCCCTCACATGCAAGCTAAATTTTGGGCACAACTGATGAAAATATTTTAACAATTAGTGGGCAACAAAGTTCGAACACAGGACCTCCTGATTCGATACCATGTTAAATAACTATCTACTTCAAAAATTTAAGCTATTGAATAGGATGTAATTAAGTATTTATACTTAAACACACCCCCTCATGTACAAGTTAGATTTTGGGCACAACACGTGAAAAACTTTTAACAATTAGGGTGACGGCGATATTCAAATACAGAACCTCATACTCTGGTACCATGTTAAACAACTATCTACTAACAAAACTTAAACTAAACTGTAAAATCCTAAACCCTTTTTTTAAGTAAACCTCATCGGTGCAAGGGTATTATTTTATTAATTGAAAATAAAATTGTACACCTAATGGGGACATAATGAACCATACCCCTCAAATGCATTTTATGTTACAACATTTCATAAAGATAAAATCAATAAAAAGTAAAAGGTATGCACCTTACATAATAAATAAAAGGAAAAAACTATCTAACAATGAAAAGTCTTCATGACATCTCCAAATACCATCAAATGATGATGACTATCCTTCAACACATGCTTAAAAGATCACCAGTTCCAAGAATATTGAAAAGTCCCAAAAAACTCTTTGGTCCTACCAATAAACAAATTCCAAAAAAGTCTCCATAAATCCCACCATATCTACCACTTCACCACGACTATCTCGTAGAATGCATTTGAGGGATTGAATATAGTTACCATTTTCCACATATAGTCACTTTTATTTTTCTTTCTTAAGGAGCTTATTTGCCGCATATCATGAATGAGGATGAAGTGACCTTTAATAGGAAAATCTTCCAACGATTTGTATAGCACTGGAGCTCTATCTTTGATCCCCTTATTCGCCAAATAATCAGCCGAAAAATTAACTCCTCTAAAGATATGCACAATCTCCAAGTTCATCCTTTGCTTTAGGCTAGTAATTTGTTAGGATAGATACCAAATCTTCCAAAGAATTTAACTTCCACTATTCACCATATCCACCAAAACTAAAAAGTCCCGACCCTACAATGATTCAATATTCTGAAAAACAATATTCCCCAATAATCCCAAGGCCAACAAATAACACCCTTAACTCGGCTGCCACATTGTTACAATTGTCATAATAATAAGATGTTGCCAAAACCAATTGACCTCAGTGATTTCAAAGACTAACTCTTCCACCTACTATACCCGAATTACCTTTACTAGCACAATCAATACTTAACTTCATCACCCTTACCAAAGATAACATCCACTTAACCGAAATCCCCACACGATAGTGGACTTGAATATTCGAGCATTGAAGCAAACCCTTTTTTGTCAAACAATCGCTAGTTTTAGGCTTCATGATATAAGCTTGATATCACAGACAATCAATCACTCTTACAATAATTCCAAATAAAGAAAGTTTCACTGGTTCCTAAATCATTCGACATCTTTCTTTACACAACTACCAATAGACCAAAAGGGGTATACTTCTAATCAATCCATGCAAAAGAGAAGATTTTTTAAAAAATCTGATTATCCTCTTTAATTTGGCCATTGGAGACTTCATGCAAACATAATGGAATACCCAAAAGGGCTAAAATCCTTCCCCACAAACACACATTCGCAGCAAACTCGCATTCAATAAATAGATATGAAGCCGAATTCAGCCTCTTTGTAACAAAGCACACATCTACTAGATGGGAAAATTCCTATATTCTGGAAACATAATCCTGCTTCTAGATTTTCTTTGCTATTTATTCATTTGACCTCTTCCTCTAACTAGTTCCCACGTGGATTTCACTGTAAACATCCCAGTTGACAAGTCCTAGCTAACCAACTTATCATGTCTCACACTCGAAAACATATTTGAAGACAAAATTTTTGTCACCAATTGAGCTTTGAGCTCCCCTCTAATATCTTACATCCATTGACTATTTACCCAACCCTTTGATAGCTTAAGAAAAAATTGTGGTCTAGTATCAACTTTAAGAATTAGAGGCCTGACCCCAACAAGTTATCGCACCAAAAATCAACTCTCTCACCTAAACCCACCATCATAATGAGTTAGAAGTTACTTCCTCCAGCCAAGGAGCTAGAGTTTTAAAACACTTAGAGGCAGTTGGAGTAAACCTTTCTAGCATGTGTTGGTTCTTCAAAACACTAGCAGAAAAGACCACTACCGATAGAGAAGATCCCTTCAAAATATTCTATACGGCTTCATTTTGAATGCCTTTTGAATATCTTCAAATTTTCTAATTCCTAACCCCCCTTCCTCTAGAGGAAGTGTAATATATTTTTCCATGAACACCAAGGTCTCTTTCTCACATCAAGCTTGTTAGACCAAACAAAAGAGGCCGTAATGGAATAAAGCTTGGCTATAATACCTTTAGGAAGGTTGACAGAAGCTAAAATATGTACAGGAATACTATTGAGCACATATTTGACAAGAGCTATCATTCCAGCATTCAAAAGCACCTTCGAGTACTAACCCTCTATTTTTCCTCTAAACTTTCAAAAAATCTCCTCAAAAATACACCAATTTTGTTCTTCCCTTCATAAGAGTACACCCTAGGTAAGTAAGTGAATGGATAGCTTCTAAGACGAATATTTACAACTGATTGTAACATATTCCTCCTAGCTTGAGTTATTTTCGAAGAACAATAAAGACCACTCTTTTGCTTATTCACCCTCAACCCTGATGAGCCTTCATAAATCTCCATAAACTTTAGCAAGTTAGTAAGTGATTTTTTATCCCCTCTACGAAACAGAAGTGTCATCCGCAAATACGAAGTGACTTATGAGCAATGTAGTCCTCCCTCTAACAAAATACTTCACTAGACCAACTTCAAAGATTTTCTTTGACCCTTTACTTAATACTTCTTATACTAGGATAAAAAGACTTGGGGACAATGGATCATGTTGTCTCAAACCTCTTGAACTTCTAAAAAACCCAAATTTTTACAATTAATTGAAAGCAGTTTGTAATAATAGAGATAAAACACGTTTGAAAAACCAAACATAGATAATTTTTTTTGTAAAAAACCCCATTCCATACGGTTGTATGCTTTTAACATATCCAACTTCAAAATAACATTTCCACTCTCAACTTTTATGTCTAAATCTCCAAGCATTAACTAAGCCAAAGCAATACAATCCCCTATAGTTCTTCACTTAACAAGGTCATGATGCTCTTCAGATATAAGATTAGATAACAAATAACCCAACCTTGCAGCCAACAACTTTGAAAATATCTTATACAAAAAATTATAGAGACTTATTAGCCTATATTCTAATAAAGAATTTGGATCATTAGCCTTCAAAATTAGAGATAAAAGAGTGGCATTAATAGATCTTGGAATCACTTCTCCTTGAGAGAAAAAAATTACAGCTCTTAATAAGCCCTCCTTAATAATATCCCAAGTCACACAAAAAAAATTTCCTGAGAAGCCATTGGGACCTGAAGCACTTTCAATCGACATGGAATAGACTATTTCTTTTAATTTCTCTGGCGTAATAAACCTAGTAACTTGCAGACTAAGAAGCACGGATACGGACATGGGTGTTGTATCCGATACGACACGGACACGGAATACAAAAAAATTCCAAAATATAGGATATGGGTATGTCAAGGATACGACTAATTAAAATAATGTTATATATTTTTTATATAAATAACAAGATTAATAATAAGACCTAACATGATTGAGTGGTTGGTTAATATCTTACAATTTTACAATTGAACAATAGGCTAATGTGTAGAATTGAGCAATGGGCTAATACTAAATGGAGATGTGGACTAATACCAAAGTGGGTTATAGGTAAATTTATTTGATAACTAGTAAATAAATTATACCAAAAAAAAGAAAAATATTAAAAAAAAGAAAAGAAAAGAAGGAAAGCCTCTATTCAAATCGAGAGAGAGAGAGAGAGGGGCAACCGATGGCGAGAATGAGAAAAGATAAAGAAAAAGGCAGCCAACGACGCGAGAGAGAGAGAGAGAGAGAGAGAGAGAAAAGAAAAAAGAAGAAAAAAAGGCAGCCGACCACCGACGACACCCATATGAGATCTAAAGCAAAGATCATTGAAGTAGAAGGGAAAAAGAAGGAGGAGAGATGATGCAGATCTGGTTGCAAATCGATCACTGAAGCCTTCGCCTCCTTTTAAGGAGGATCCGAAGTAGATCCGAGGCTTTCAGCTTGAAGCAGATTCAAAACCTTTTCCTTGAAGTAGATCCAAAGCCTTATCCTTTTCTTCTCTACTCTCTGTCCAAGTTTCTTTTTTTTCTCTCTTTTCTTAGCCCCATATCCCAACGTATCCAAGCTGTATCCGACTACCAAAAATCCTTCTTCACTGTTCAAGACACCCGTAGAAGTGTCGAACACGTGTCCAACCGTATCTCACACGTATTCGTGTCGGACACGTGTCCGACATCGCCACGTTGACCTCCCAACAAGTATTCGAGCTTCCTAGGCTGCAGATTATCCTCATCAGAAACGATCCTTAGAATCACTCAAAAGAGCTCTTCATTTTAAGAGTACGATTCAGAGGCATATAGATTATAATAAAACCGTTTGGAACAACTACCAATGACACCTTCATCTGATAATCAACTGTCATTTTGATCTTGAATTCGCCTTATTCTATTTTTTGTAGTTCTACCTTTAACAAAGGCATGACAAAATTTTGTATTTATCTCGACATCCATAACCCATTTCATATTAGTTTTTTTGCTTCCAATAAATTTCCTCCAATCTCAAAGTGACATCTAACTCTTTTTGCACTTGTTCCAAAACCAAGAGTTTGGCCTCAGATGTTGTTCCACTTCAAGCTCTGCTTTTAACAGCTTCTCTTATGCCCCTCATAAAAAACCTCAACGTTAAATAGTATTCCAAAACTCATGCCCACTATGAAATCCATTGAAGTCTCCTCAAGCCATCCTACAGCAATAAATAGTATTCCAAAATTCATGCCCACTACACCAATAATTTTCCAAACACTCTATCCAAAATATTGGATAATTGTTTGCCAACTGCAACCTTCAATATTATCATGTTATCCTCAGACTTGCACAAGAGGGATGGTTTGAAATTTGGGACATCAATGAAAAAAGGATTCTTGCATCAACCACTTAATTAGCATTTTGATGCCTCATTTGCATCAACAATATTGAAAAAACATAGAGTACAGTAGTAGAATCTCACAATGAGAACAAAAATGCAAACAAATATATATCAATCAATCGAATCTTGACAACCTTTATGAAGCGAAACAAATTAATCATAGAGCCATCTAAAGTACGAGGGAATCATCAATGAGATAAACCACTCATTCGGTAGCTTGTCTTTGTCAATTCACATGTTTTGATATATATATAGTAAATAGTAGGTACTTGTACAAACTCTTTCCATATCGTTGCATCTAATTTTTGCATGGTTGGTGCACTAGCTAATCAAGACTCTATTTTTCGAATTTGGAATTTGCGCCCTTGCCCGATCTACCTGCTCTTAGTGACTATATGTCCGATCGTGTATGGTATGTTCACAATTCGCACAAATGGAACACATTGCATATTATAACCTTTCTTTTTTGAGCTAGGTCATTTCATCAAAGATATGAAAATGACTTAATCTTGTATTTGATTGTCGGCATTACAATAGGTGACTGCCTTCCTAGCCATTGCTAAAGCTGAGCGAGAACGGTAAAGGGCCCACAAGCAAAATCATTGCGCGGGAATGTGATTCGCTTCACAATTTGGTGGAATATTGTGGTAATGATTCCTACCACACAAAATAATGAATATAATGTATTATTAATTGGGGTCATCAGAAAAAAATCACTGCATATTCCATCAATCTCTTAATCACAATAGATTTTCCTAAACTGGTAGGACCTTGTGCAGAACTCATGTAAGACCCAAGATGGTCGTTTCTAGCTATAGCAAATAAAGTGGATATATGTTACATGTAACATTGCGCACTCATCTTTAACCAATCATGTTAAACCATCTCCAATAGAAATTCAAACCTTTACCGAGTAAAAAAAGGGTAAAAATTTTAATTTGATATAGTCCATTCAAATTTAAAGGAACACAAATTTAAATTTAAATGAGGACAAAATCAAATTTAAAAGAGGATAAAATATGACTATTGGATGTTAAAAGATGGTAAAATCTCACCAATAAAGATTTAAAGATTTGGGTATTTAAAGATTTAAAGATTTGGGTAACACTGCTATCGATCAATTAAAGATTTGGATAACACTGCTATCGATCAATTAGAAAACAACGATACACCCAATAACAGTACATGAAAACTTGAGCCGAAATAGAATTCCAGAGCTTTGCAACATACTACCTTAATGTCTTCGTTGGAAACCCCATAATCCAAGTTAGAGATAACAAGTTTCGTGCCCGTCTCAATTGCCGACACCCGACTGACTTGCGCCGGGTACGCCGCAGCATGTTCCGCAAACATGCCATGGTCCCATGCGTCATCAGGGGCTTGGACCTATTGTTGCACATCCAACAACACAAAGCCACAAAGAAACTTTATATCAGACCAACAATCACAGATCTACACCATATACGAAGCTATATATGGAATTTGTGGTGTATAAGAAACCCTAGGTCGTAGTTGGCTCACTGTTCCAGTGGAGTACGGCGTCGTTCGGTTTGCGCTGCGCTTGAAGGGCCGGCGGTTTGGTCCTGGGGCACCGGAGCTTCGAGATCGGCCTCTAGGGTTAGATTTCTTGTTCTTCTTAATCATATCGTCAAGAGACATGTCTAAGTTTGACATTTTTTATGAATCTGGTAGAATTTCGGGGGAGGTTGAAGAAGGGTTCTGACAGAAACTGTGCGTAGACTTGGGGGGTTCAGGAAAACGAAGATGGGATCGAATCGAACGGAGTAAAATTCACCGACTTAAATACAAGATAGAATTAAGGGCAAATTACAGTGACACGCCTCCTAGTTTCTTGTAGTTTTACAAGCCCCCTTCTTCTTTTTGAAATAACATCAACATCCTTTTGATGTGACAGCAGATAACAATTTCGCCCACATAATTAACCGTTTAGATTTTGCTGATACCGACAATTTTTATGAATTGTCCAATTTCCCCTCATCTTTCCTTCCCGGAAAGTAACTGTGCAATGCATCCTTCAACACTCAAAAATACACATCCAAATATCTAAAGAAAAAAAGAAGGCACCAGCACCACCACTGTTGTGCCACATTATCACTCCTTCCACCACAACAAATTCATTCTCAAACCCCTTCAATAAAATTATCTCAAATTCCTATCAATTTACCAAAAAAAAAAAGGGCAAAGGTCCACCGCCACCGCACTTAACACCATGGTTGTCGCCACAAGCACCTACCCTATCATCATCTCCACCACTGCAAATTCAAGTACCAAAACTCATTCACAATTCTGTCAACGAAAAGTAAGTCAACACCCATCAACTTAACATAAAGAATCATAACTCCACAACCAATGCCACCTTGCCACTGCACACGCCTTAATCATAACCAATCATTGAGTTGGAGATACCATCTTGGCACTTACAGTTGCCTAAAATGCACCCTTCTTCGTAGCCTTAGAAACTGAATCCTTAGATAGTGAATAGAAAGAGAGTGGCAGTTGATCAAAGGTAGATAAGTCGGCTTCAAGATGGTGTACTAGGTCAATGGGTGCAAGGATGATAATGGAAGCGAATCTTTACTCACTACCTATGTGTGTGCATGTAGAAGTGAAAGGGAGAAGAGGGACGATGGGGGATAGACAGAGAGAGAAAGAGAGAGAGGATGAGACAAGAAAAGAAACAACAATGGTGTTATCTGGATCTGACTAAGGTAATTCAATAGTTGAATTAGGATGTTTGATAGTGGGACTAGAATTAACCATATATAGCATATGTTAAAATTTAATTCAAACTCTCTAGTTATCATGAATGATAGTGTATTGGGTAATCAATGTGAGAATCTTATATGAAATAGGATTTTTTTGGAAGAATTCTAATAATCATAAATAGGTATATTAAACATAAAGATCAAATTGTATCTAAATAGGTTTGGGTTACTGTATTTTATCCCTATAAATAGGGTTAAGTAGTACGTAATCAGTTATCGGATGATTAATTTTTCAATGAATAATACATCGATGTAGGTTTTTAGTCCATAAATGTAGATATGGTGTACCAAGATGGGTATGTTGTATCGAACCACGTTACATCTTTATGTAGTGCCTTTATTGTTTTCCTATCTTTGTTTGAATTCCTATCTTCTAATAAGTATTATTTGTGTTAATTATATGTTGTGCAAAATCAACAAGTGGTATCAAAGCTATGTTCCAACAATTGGTATCAGAGCTAGATTGATGATCCTAGTAGAACAAGTCAAAGCTAGATTGATGATCTTGGTAGAACAATCAGAGCTAGATTGACGCTCCTGGTGCAACAATTAGAGCTAGATTGATGATTCTGGTAGAACAATCAAAGTTATATTAGCAATCTTGGTGCAACAATCAAAATAAGTTATTGACAATTCAATAATCAAGTTGGTGTTCATGTTTAAGAAGACTCCTTTGCCATGTGTATATGATGTGGTGTGAAGATTGATTTCATCCTGCATACAATAAGGATGTAATCTTGAAAAATTAGTTGATGCATATTTTTTGTTTAGATCCACAAGAAAAATTTTAAGTTGTTATGAAACCAAACGAGAGACTATGTTGCTTCCAGATTGTTTGAATTTCAAGAATTACCACACATGCTATTTTGAAGATGTTTCTTCATAATTTTTGGCTCTTTGAGTTGAAGTCGCGGTATTCCAATGATTTGAAAGTTATTGGGTTGACATAAACCCAGAAGTGATGATGTAGGTGTATCGTGAGTTACAAGTCACTAGGCTTTACCTTTAAATGGTGAAGTATTAACCATTGAGACCTCTCAAGAACAGGTAAGACACGAGCAGAGATGCATAGATGATGCAAGCCAATACGCGGGTTCTTGAAAGATAGAGAGGATTGTAGCGACTCAGAGAAGCAAGTTGGCACATGATGCTTGAAAAGATTTGCGAATCAAAATCAAGGATGTTAAGCTCGATCTTGGGTATGACACAATTTGAAGAGTTTGGTTCAATGAAGGTTGTTGGATTTGACTCAAACTCTCTAATTGTCACGAATGAGAGTTTATTGGGTAATCAATGTGAGAATCCTATCTGGAATAAGATTATACTAGAAGAGTTTTTACTATACCATAAATAGGTATATTAGACATATGATAGGTAACATAAAAATCAAGTTGTATCTAAATAGGTTTGAATTACAGTATTTTTTCCTTATAAATACGATTGAGTATTACGTAATCAGTTACCAGATGATCAGTTTTTCAATGAATAATACATCGATGTGTTTACAAATATAGATATGGTGTACCAAGGTGAGTATATTGTATCGAACCACGTTATATCTTTATGTCATGTCGTTATTGTTTTCCTATCTTTGTTTGAATTCCTATTTTTTAACAAGTATTATTTGTGTTAATTATTTATTATGCAAAATCAACAAATGGTATCAGAGCTATGTTTCAACAAGTGATATCAGAGTTATGTTCAAATAGCATGGTTAGTGTTTAGTTAAATTTGGTTTATTAATTGAAATATATGAGTCTAAAATTGGAAACGTGCAACTTGTGTCAACCGACAATATTAGATAGGGTGTTAGTGTAATTATTAAAACAACAAGAGGTGTAATGAAAATGTTAGAAACTAGAAAGGGTGTTATTGTAATTTTACCCTAAAATTAACAACAATATAAAAAAATACCACCTTGTACCCTATAAGAACAACTCTAACCCTGTCATTCTCCCCTTTTAGCTATTTTGACAAGTTTCATTCAAAAAATCAGCTCCAACCCACTAACCATCCTCCTCGCCAAAATCTAGAAGGTCTTCATGGTCATCAGATTTGGAGAGACTAAATTTGCTTGTCACTTTGTGCTGCTCCTTGCTGTTGCGTTCTTCTATAAACTTCTTCAACTGTGACAAGGTATTCATCTTCCCCTCCCCCTTCCCACTGATTTGTTACATGTTTTGTTGTCAAAACCCTTCCCCTCCCCACTGTTTTGCTGTCAAAAATCCCTGATTTACTGTCTGTTTTGTTGCCAAAAACCCCTCTCCCTCCCCACTGATTTGTTGCCAAATTTCTTATTAATTAAATATGATTTGTGGTTAAATATGTTATTAGTATTGACATATTGTTATTAATTAAATATAATTTGTGCCAAAATTGTTATTAGTATTGATTTTTGGTTAAATATGTGATTAAATATTTATCAATTTTTGGTCAAATAGGTGGTTAAATTTGTATTAATTTTTGGTTAAATATGTGATTAAATTGTTATTGATTTTTGGTTAAATAAGTGGTCAAATTGGTATTGATTTTTGGTTAAATAGGTCGTTAATTTTCTATTAATTTTTGGGGTTAAATAGGTGGTTAAATTACTATTGATTTGTGGTTAAATTTATATAATGTATGGTTGAATTGCTATTATCAATTGGTTTTTGTTATTTGTAGTGGATGGGTGTTAAATTGCTATTAAGTTGTATTATTTGAAATTTGATTAGAATTATTATTATTGTATGCTTTAGGTTGAATTATATGAATAATGTATACTTTGGGTTGAATTCTAGGCATTACATATAGAATCATTTGAACATGAATATTACTTCACCAATCTCTTGAACGACGGAACAAACTTAAATGAGATTAACACTGAATTAGTAGACCAAATAGGTCATTCTTCATCAATATCACCTCAAATAGAATCTACCACCAAAAAAGTTCGAGACGATAACTTTACAATTGAGGAGAGCTTAGTTTTAATCTAAGCTTGGATTAATATTAGCGTGAATGTCGTGCATAAAAATGAGAAAAAATCTAAAACGTATTGGAAAGGGTTTGGGATACTTCAACGAATATAAACCCCAGTCAGATTGTAACCGCAATCAAGTTTCTTTGATGAATTGTTGGTCGACAATTCAACTAACCACCAATAAATTTTGTGGTTGTTTTGACCAAATTGATAGGTTGAATCAAAGTGGTTTGACTAAGAAAGACAAGGTAAGAGTGCATTTTTTATTACGAATGTGAAAATAGCACATTTTTCATTTATGATACATAGTATTATTATACAATTTTCAAATTCGTGATACAAAGAAGGTGTACAATGAACTGCATAAATGTTATTTTCCATTTGAACATTGTTCGAATAAGTTACGGTATTAACCAAAATGGATGAAGGATTCTCAGTCTAAGAAGCAAAAAATAAAAGGTGGTGCAACTCCTTGTAGCTCTAATCCTTCAACACTAGAATTGGTAAACAAAAGAGATGACAGTGGTTCATATGGGGGCTTGAAGAGGCCAACTAGATGGAAGACTGTGAAAGAGCGAGCAAGAAAGTCAAAGAGCAAACTCTCGGAAGGTGATAATTCAAGTTCAACCTATTTCATGAAACTGTTTGAAGAATTGAAAGAGGAGAAAAATATGTTGATGGAGAAGAAAGTTAAATTCATGAAAAGATCATATCTTCAAGAACAAGAGAGACTAGCTCATGATAAACAAAAATGGTTAGTTGTTGAACAAGAAAGACTAGCTCGTGATAAAGAGAAGATACAAATCAAGCAATTGAAGGAGGAAGAGAGAATAATATTGATAGACATGAATGACATGCCTCCGATTCAAGCTGAATATTTTAAGCGTCGCCAGATGGAAATCATGGGAAAGAAAATGTAGTTCTTTCTTATTCATAGACTAACAACTTTTGATTAGTAGTACAACAAACAAGTATTGTAATATTATGCATGCTTAAATATTCGTAGACAATGAATG